GGGGTTCTCACCTGGCCTTGCTTAAGTGAAGCTTTAAGCTCTCAGCCAAAACACCTGGACTTTTTTAGAGGTGGGATTAGCATTTTGCATTGAGGAATTGTTTCATTTACTTCTGCCTACGCAGGAGACTTCTGTGTTTCTGTCTGCAAAATTTCAACCCTGTTCTAGGAAAGGCTCCAAAGTAAATTGGAGCAGCTTCAGGGGCTGTTTGAAATCGTAGCAGCTGAGGCTGCCCCAGCACTTCATGCTCCTCCACCCTGTGCCTCTGGCACCGCCGCTTTGCAATAAACTCAGATCTTCACCTTCCCAGAGAAAACTCTGCTCTGCATCACTGGTAGGTTTTCCTAGGCTAGAAAGTAGTCCGTCCTGCTTTAAAATAAGCAGGAATGAGAGAATGAGAGCCCGCTGGCTTTGCTGGGAAATGGGCATTTACCAGTTATTGTAACTCAGCGTTACTGTTTATGCTCTGAGGTGTGTAGACTGATGAAATAGGAAGAACATAGCTAGAATAACTGCTCCTGGGAATTGTGCCCATAGATGCGAAGTTAACCATTCCTAAAGCTGCCGAGGACAATTTCCCCAAACTTCCAGCACTGTGCAATTAATCAGACGCCTTCTCTGAGTTTTCCACTTTCCTCAGCTCTAATAAACACTAGTTCCTGCCAGAGGCAGCACAGAGAAATTGATGGATTGATGAAATGATCCAGTACCAGCAAATCTATAGCTGTAAAAATAGCCAGTTATTCTTATCATTTCCTTGTTCTGATACAATTTCCTGCTCTCCCACCAAGCTGCCTTGAAGATTGCCTGGATGACAGGTCTGCTTTGAAGACAGTTATACCCTCTGCAAAGCAATGTACCTCTTCTCTTAGAAATAGCTGTGTTGAAGAGCAGTGACTGGGAGCAGGGTGAGAAGCTGAGCTGATGTCAACAGCCTTTGATCACATTTGGCATGTATCTGGGGTGGGTAGTGCTTGTTCTTAACATTTGTGATTGTATTGCACTGAAGCATAGGAGATGTTCTTTGCTTGAAGAGTTCTACTGTGCCTTCTATAGATGTAGTGATCTGCAGCCTGCTTGGAACAGCTCAGAACAGGGACGTGGGGACCACAGCAGCAAGCCATTCCTAGCTCTGTATACCAGCTAATTTGGGTATGTCTCTGCTCAGCAATGGAGGAAGTTGTGTGAGTTTAACAGGGTTCTGGTAGTGTTGGTTTTTTGTTGTTTTTTGTTTTTTTTCCAAAAGTGGATTAATGAGAGATTGCAACTGCAGCCCTGCTGATGGATCTGAGAGCAGTGATGTCTAGCATGTAGCGGTGGTGAGCAGATGGAGTTGGTTACCCCTTTGGCATGTGCAGCTGTCCTTGGTGTAGGAAGCATGATGGCCTTTAGTACTACCATAAAGACCTTTTGGGATCTATGTGCTACTAGGTGTCTTGGACAGCTGGCCTTTACAAACTGGTCGCCGTCATCAAACCTTGTTAATTTTAGAAGAGCTCAGTTTTAGTCATGCCTAGGTTTTAGATATGGAGAAATGACTGAAATGAAAAGACTAAACTGTGCATGGGTTGGTGTTATTCAAAAGTCTGTTTGCTCATGGGAAATCACTTGGAGAGCCTTGCTTGGTAGTGCTCTAAGTGTCTACACTGAAATACTTGTTCTCATCCAGCACCCTTAAAATTGTGCAGTGCATTCAACACCTACAAGTGTCTGCAAGACAAATATCCTTCAGTCAACAATTCTAGTGAGTCTGATCAGTCATTTCCAGAAGATTGTTTAATAAATATGGATAGAGTCTGTTGTGCTTCTAGTTTTAGAGTCTGGATTTAGATACCTTCATCATAGTACCACAACACCTTATTAGGTGATGATAAATGCTGTAATAGAAGGGATATTCATTCATGTCTTCATGTCAGTTTTGAAGGATGAACAGCTTGTTTTCTAGCTATTGAATACAAATAACACAAGAGACTTCAGCTGTATTTAAAACTTCGGCTGTGTGCAAATTTTCCTTCCTTCACCTACCCCAGCTCAAAATTTATGACCAAATGCCAATTTCCACAGAGGCAGTTCAAGGCAGGGATGTGCTGTACTGAACATGCTCTTCTCTGAAAGTAACCATTATGGAAAGTACTTGGTACAATCTGGTACAGAATACAGCATTTAAATTCACTTCCCCATTCCCTAGTTCCAGAACTTGTCTCGAGCACAGTGTATGACTCTTCTGGTTTACTTTTCCTTGTCCTTTCCACAAGGATCAATTGGACAGAGGAGATAACATACACCAAGAATTTGCTTTTAATACTCTTTTTTTTTTCTGCTCTGTAGATGTGGGGAGAGGAAGAGGCTTTTCAGAAGAAATGCTACAAAATACTGAATGGCCATATTCTTCAATTTGCCAGCCCTGTATTTCTTGTTTGCACTGCTTGTAGTCTCTATAGCTTGTGCTTTGTGTTGGCGGACTTCTTCAGACATAAGAACATAAGGAAATGAATATATATTAAAAAAAAAAAAAAAAAAGGAATGGCTGAAAAGAGCAAATATCTCTGGGCTTCAGTAGATGTGTTCAAACCATCTGCTGTTCACGTTTATCAGTGCTGAAGGTTGCAGTCAAAGTCAATTTGGTGATTAAATAAACTTTAGGCTAGAGATTGCTATGGGGTAAAACAATCTTTATATGTTACTGACCAGTGCCTTTGGTATTCTGTTGCTGCCACAACACAATTAATTATGTGTCAGTTGTAAGTTTTAACCTGTAGCTACCCTTAGGTTTAATGTTTAAAGCTGATAATAAGGTATGAATGAGGCAGTTTAGTTGGCATCAAAGCAAAAGTGGGTTGAAAATGAGAGATGCAAACTTCAGTCAGAAGCACTCAGAGCTCAGCAGGAGCTGAGACCACCTTCATCCTTTCATGGCAAGATCTCTGTGCTTTTTGAAGCACCTATTGAATCGTAAAAAGAGGGAAGGAAGCAGTGGGGTTACTGATCTTCACTGACTTGAAGGACCAAATACTTCATTGCAACTCTGGAAATAACGCTGAGCTGAGAGCTGAAAACGTTCTGGGGTCCGTTTTCCTAGAACAAGGAGTACCAACAGAACAGCCAAACCAAAATATGTCACTTACTTTTTCCTTCCTTCCCAAATACTTTGTTACTGAAAGAATCAATATTATATTCTATTCCTGACTGTTATTGGCTTTTTATAAATATATATTCCTATGTAACTTTAAGCCAACAATAGAACAAAGTCTTAGCTCATCAGTTATGTTAATAACTGCTTCTGAGATGTAGGAGGATGAGCTGATATTGGTAAATTGCTTGGAGATTCGTGGATGTAGCTCCTTATTCTGCTCCCTGTGCTTCAGTTGTAGCAGTTGTCAGCTGCTCTCAGAAGCACGTGGATCCAGTGTACAGCTCTGCACTACTTTGGGGATGAATCAAAACATGACTTTTCAAATGTCATTGAAGTCCACTGTTTGCACAAGAAACAGTCCTCTGCATCACTGCTCAGTGAGCTGTCAGGAAAATTACTACACAGATAATAAATTATAAGATCTGCCACAAAATGCAGCATGCTTGAATAGTTTTCGAAACTATTAATAAATCCTGAGTAGTTGGAACTGTCTCCGTTCTTTCTCACCAGAGACAGCTGATTGAGATGTAGTCAGCACTGAACGGTTTGACTTGGTTGAGTTGCCCTCAGATACGGGCACGTGACTGAAAAAGAGGGAAGAGGAAACTTGAGATTCTAGTGGTCTCATTTCTTGGAAGTTTAAACTTAGGTTTCAGCATGCATCATTTCCCCTGTTTGGGCAGAAAAATGGCCAGGGACAATGCTTCACCTCTGAGGTGAATCACGGTGAGTAGAAGGTATGTGTTTTTCAGGAAGGGTTATTCAAGTTGAAAGTGAGTATTCAAGTCGTAACTGATTACCATTGTTCATATTCTAATCCCAAACTACCAACAAGTGTAAGTGTCCTAAAGTTTTGAGTATGTTTGTGTAGTTACACAGTGACTTGCACTTTGCAGCCTGTTTGGTTTGCATTCTGGGAATGGCTTAATGTTTGTGGACATGGGGAGCAAGCACGCCCTTGGTCCTGCTCCAAGTTCTGCCTGTAAACCAGGTGCTCAGCTGCACTTTAGAGACCTGTAATTCTGTGCTGGGGTCACCAGGACTTCTTGGTTTTAATTGTTCAACTCTGTAATAAAAGAAATAAAACAGATGAGTGTTGCCATGTGGTTTTGAAACGCCTGCATCGGTTGTGTACCTGAGGGTTTTTGCCCTAGACTAACAAATGTCAAAGCAATCTGTTAAGTAAACTTCTGCAAACAAGTCAGTGTTGAATAGCTGGGTTCAGACAGTTGCTTAGAAGCAGGCTAAAGAGATCTGTAGACGTTCTGGTGGTGACCAGTGGTCATGGCAGTGAACACCTACTTGCAGATGGGACAGGAGACTTTTAGAGGAGTAACAACCAATCTAAGTTTTGAACCCCCAAAACTTGTATTACTACACACAATACCTGCAAGGTGAGGGAAAAGGGTTTTTTAATGCAGATGGAAGGACTACTTTTTCTTGTGATTAGCTTTCCTTGTGTCTGATGCTGCTTCCAATTCCCTTCCTTGTGGCCCTGGAAGATGTGCTGTTGGAAGCAGTCTACACAGAGAGGTGGCCTAGATGTTAATGCTTTACTTGTTGCACCTCAAGATTGAAAGATTGCAGCTGAATTTGTGGTTTTGTGTTGAACTACTCTGGACAAGTTTTGTTAGCAACCAATTAAGTTATATTTTTCCAGTAGCTGTACTGCAAGGAAAAAAACAGTGAGGGAGTAAAGTTGCGTTTCTTTTCTTTGTGGAACTTTTAAATAAAATAACGAAATAAAGAGCTTTTATTTCTTTCATGAGGAAAAATGAGACATTTTTACAAAAGACAAGTAGAATTTGATAAAGCCAACTGTAGGTTTCAATTATATATATATTTTTCCTCTCTTCTTCTCCTAAAGGAATTGTTAATGCCATCCTTAATAACATCTAGAGAAAATCATTTGTGCGTGTGAAGGGAAAGTTGTGCTGTGGCTCAATGGAAGTAATCCACAGATCTGTCTGGAAAGGTAATATGGAATTTTTAGATATGTATGTTTTAATTTTTTTCCAGTTGAAATGATTATCACTGTATTTTTGACTGTGCATTCATCTGTTCATGTGCTTTTTACAGCAGGATTTGACTAATGTTTGTGTCAAAGTTCAACACTAAGTGAGTTAGTAACAACTGATGTGGTAGCTCTTGATGGCTTAAAAGGGCATTGAATGCATTCATAAAACATCCTCAGGTTGGCTTTACTTATGTTTTACCACTGTCTGTACCAGGGTTTTGGTGATCCTTTATAGAATCATCATAGAATGGTCTGGGTTGGAAAGGACCTCAAAGATCATCTAGTTTCAACCCCCCTGCCGCGGGAAGGGTTGCCAACCACCAGACCAGGCTGCCCAGATCCTTCCAAAGTGTTGTCTTCCTTCTTCCTTTTCTCCACTTGAATTTGTTAAAAATGAGTAAATAGATGTGTTGCTACAGATAAAGGCAGAAGAAACGTTCTCAACAGTTCTGATTTCTTGCTTGTTGGTAATAGTTATTTAGATAGCTGTGAATATGTAAAATAGAGGAAAGAAGACCATGAATAGATCAAAGTCTCTGTAGGAGCTGAAGAGCAGTAATGACTCGCCACACACACCAGCACTCACAGGAACCAGAAAGCAGATATGGCTTCACACTCAGCATCTGCTTTACAGTGAGACAGAGTTGTCTTCAGTAAAGAAGCAAAACTAACGCTTCTGTGGGACAAGTTGTCACATCCCATATCTGTGACAAAGTTCTCATTTTGGTGGATACTGGGCTACATTGTTCTTGTTCCAGAACTCTCACCTAATTATCTAAACCGGATGCCTTTCTTGTTTTAGATGAAAAGACAAAAAATATTAGTGGTGCAAGTCTTCTCTTTGCTTTCAGCTTAGATAGTTGATCAGTTTTTCTGTTCTCAGCAAAGTTCCCCTTAAAGCACGTATTTTTAGTTGCACAAGCTAAGTAAAACTGGCTGCTCAGCATTCAGCAGGATTTTGGAAAGCTGTATGCACTCTAGGAGTAGCTGCATATTTGATATAACAGAGACTGCGGTAACTGATACTCTCATTGAAGTAGTGCTGGAACATTAGGAGCTGGCCACTCAAATAAATCAGGAAGCAAAATACAGCTTTGTCAATACTGCCTTTTGCCCAGGTCCTATAAATATCTCGCACATGTGAGCAATAACCTTAATGATGCCTATGTAGCTCCTTGTGCCTCATCCTGTAGGTTTGTGTGGGACTGGCAAATGTGAATTCTTCCTGTTTAGATTTGGTAGAGATGAGGGTGATAATATGCAAAGTTTTTCCCATGTTTTCTTTCAGTGCTTAATGTAATTGTTCGTTGCACTATGACAGATCCTCACCACATGTGCATGACAATTTGTTTCACAATAGCATAGTGTAATTGCATCACCAGGTTTTACTGGGTGATGTGAGGTGTCACTACATCAGCTGTGCTCTGTAAAGCCACAAAAATGACCAGAGGGATGGAACACCTCTAAAAGGTAACAGGCTGAGATCTGGGGCTGCCTGGAGGAGAGAGGCCTCTGGGGAGACCTGAGAGTGGTTCCCTCAGTATCTAAAAGGGCTGCAAGAAAGGGGAACAGACTTTTTAACAGGGTCTGTTTGTGAACAGAACAAGGGAAAATGGTTTCAAACTAAAAGAGAGGAGATTTAGATTAGATATAAGGAAGGTGTTTTTTCATATCAGGGTGGTGAGGCATTGGCACAGGTTACTCAGAGAGGTGGTGGGTGGCCATGGAGATACTTAAGGTCAGGCTGGAGGAGCTCTGAGCACCTGCTCAGCTGCAGGTGTTTCTATTCACTGTAGATGTGTCAGACCAGTTGACAGGGTTAAGGTTAAGGGTTCCTTCCAACTCAAATTATTCCATGATAGCATGTAATCCTTGTGAGCAGAAGATGGGGAGTTAAGTAGATTCCACTACTAGGCTTTCATTTTTACTTACTGTTCTGTGCCTCGTGTAGTGATACTATGTCCAATGGAGGCTGAACACCACAGGAAAGAGCAGTGATGTTTGTCTTGCGTGAGACCTTTCAGGCAGGAGTGTGGTGGAGGATGAGACCTATAGAATGCTGCCAGAAACACACTGCTGCTGAAGTATCATTTGCCTTTCTGTGCTGTGCCATACTGATGGGGGGAAATCCAAGCTTGCTTCAGCTGCAGGCATGCCTGTTCAGTTACCTGCCCCAGCCCTGCCTTGATTGCCTTGCCTCAAACACACAGCTGTGCTACTTCACTCTCTCTCTAGGCACCTGAAGATGCAGCCAAGAAAATGTGTTACGTGGCCATGCTGCTGTTGGTTTTCTTTTCTCTTGCCTGTAGTCACGCATGCAATTTCCTTTCCAGCTCCACCCTTACTAAGGGCTGTCCATCACCTTCCCCTCTGCCCACGGGCCTCTGGGACAAAACTCACTGGGCTTGAGGGGATGCTCAGGGGACAGAGTGCAGGTGACTGGGGGGGGGGGGGGGGGGGGGGCTGGGATTTGGAGATTTGGAGGTGGGGAGCGGTGATGGAGAAACAGAGGTATGGGGAATGGTCGTGGAGATGGGGGCTGCTCTGAGAGGAGGCAAACAGCGTGATAGGACGCTGCGGTGAAGGAACCGACGGCTGCCGAGGGGATGCTGCGATAACCGCAGGAGGTGCTGGGAACGGCCCCCACCGGGCCGCGGCGGAGGCGGGGGAAGCGCGCAGGGAGGCGGCGGTGGCACCGCCCCGGGCCGGGGTGGGAGCGGAGCGGAGCGCGGAGGAGGAAGCGGTGCTGGTAGCAACACGTGCCCTACGCTGGGCGAGCAGCGCGGGCGCCGAGAGGTCCGGCTGCAGATGGCCGTGCCCGGCTGGCAGGTAACCCCGTTCGGTCCCGACGCGAGGCTGCGGCTGTTTCTTGTTGTTATCTGCGTGGGGTAAATACAGTGGCTTCTCTTAAAAATCTAAGCCGCTTGTGGGAGCGGGGCTTTATGCTTCTTTTATGGGAATGGGTGGATTTTGCCTGTTTTGCGGCTGGTCGAGTTGTTATAGGACTTTGTTCTTACAGCGCTGAAGTATCCAGGGGGAGTAAGTTTGTGTTCGCGGCTCTGCGCTAACTCCGCTCTTTGCTTTGGCTTTGCAACGTGCAGCTTTGGCGATGCAGTGCAAGAGACTCGGAGCAAAGCGGTCTGGGTCGTGTGAATGTTTGTTATCTGCATAAGAAAGTTGCGCTGAAAAAATGCAAATGCCTTTTAGCCGTTCCCTGATTTGATTCGTCCCATTTGCTAACCGGAAAGGAGTTTAGTTAAGTTTAGGCTGTAGTTAATCAAACCGGTTGGTCAAACAAACAAACCTAAAATAATAAAAAAGGGAAAAAGCGTTCACACCAATACATCAAGGTGGCAAAATTGTGTTAAGGGTATCTTCAAGAGAGGCTTAAGAAGTAAGCCAAAACTCTAAATAAAGACACCCTGCTTGTAACGAGAAATAATCCGTTTTTTCAGCGGTGTTTGCATAGCACAGCTATAGTAACTGGCAGGGAAATGCTTCATGCCCTTAATGTTACGACATTCACTGGAAGCTAAATTACCTTGACGTGACTTTAAGAAAGTGGAAGTTCTCACCTGGATATTTTGGTGCTAATTTTTTGGTGATTGAGCCGTAGAAGTTGTCAGGTACGCTAAAGTAATTTAGGTTGCCTCAGCAATGATCCTATTGAATGGCTGCTTCTGGCTGTCAGGGTGAATGGGAGCATTTGAGTAATAATCCTATTTGTTTGATTTCTTGCTGCTGCTCGCTGCTGTCAGCGAGGCAAAAATGCTTTCAGATGGTGGAGGCTGAGGGTGGATTCAGCATGTGCAGCTCCACTTTGCAATGACTGCAGGAAGAGTTTGAAGAATGTAGTGCAGAAAGGAAAATTTCATTTTAAGATTTTTTTAAAGCACACTTCATTTTCAATAGAGATGGAGGTGTTAGAAGCATCTTTAACTTTGTTGATATTGAAGAAACCATCAAATAGGTTGAATATGTAGGTTATAGAATCACTTGGGTTGGAAGGAACACATAAAGGCCATCTGTTCCAACTCCCCTGCACTGAACAGGGACACCTGTGGATCAATCAGGTTGCTCAGAGCCTGGTTCAGCCTGACATATGCCTGTACATTTGTGTGTATTGAAGCTGTTTATTAAAACCTGAGATGTAACGAGCACCTGCAACTACACTTGGCACAGGTAGGCACCTGAATAGCATGGGGATCCCTAAAAGTGACCCCACTGCACAAGGTGGTAGCAGAGTGTTGGAGGTTGCTTGTGCCCTCAGCTGTGTTAGTTACTACCAAGATTGAATAAGCTTCACTGCAAGGAGCATCAGCTGCAAGACTGGATCAACTTCTTTTTTTTTCCGTGATGTCTTTTGCTTGAGTTTAAGCTGTTTGCCAGGTAACTGCGTTGATGAAATTCCTCTTATTCGAACAGATAATTGTTTATAATACGTGCTCAGGCAAGAATTGTTCCTAAGGATGTTCTGTCTGTGGTGCTGAGGCCCTCTGGGTTTTGGGGCTGTCTATGGCAAACCAGGTTGGGCTGGCATGCAGCCTGCATCCCATGGTTACCCCCACAGAGATTTTTCCAGGCAACATTGTACATCTGTTTGGCTGGTTTGGTTTAAGTCAGAGTGAATTGCTCATCTCCTTGTCTCTGAAGAGGGTTTCTTGCTGTTAGCTGAAGGTTGCCATCAGAGCTCTGCTAGCTGTAGTGAAATTCACGCATGTGTGCAGCAGCTCGAGGTGCTGCCATGACTGGAGAACCTGTCAGTTTCGGTCACTCATCCCTATACTCTGAATTAATTTTAGTGGGGGATTTGAATTTTGGTCTCTCTGAGCGGTCTGTGGAGATGTGGGGCCTTCTAGCTCACTCTGGAGGGAAGAAGGAAGCTTCACCTTGGCGGAGGAGGCCAAAGCATGCTAAATATGCCCTAATTTCCTCTGTACCGGTTCTACCCTTGAGTG